TGATTTTACATATACCCTAAACCTTAGATAAGAACCTTATGCCATATTAATTAATTATTACAAAATGTAAGAAATCRAAATTTTATTTCAAAAATGTATGTGATGATGTTTATTATTATACATATGTAAGTAAAACGCGAATTTTAGACTATTCCGGAATATGTTCTTATGCATTTAAACTGCCGTAGGATGTGAACAAACCAAACAGGCATCCACTGAACAACAAAAACAATAATAAACCTTTTTTTTGCAATTGTTGTATTTGTTCTTCTTCTGCCTTTAGAAATTCGTGTATATTTGACCAGGCAGTTCTAATAAAGAAATGCATATACTGAGAAAGTGCGCAGTATTGGCGCAACTATTTTTTTTTCAAAAAGAAACTACAACAGCCATAGATTACAGGAATGAAACAAGATTTGCTTTACCCCGCTTAACTCACAACTATATGTCTGCATATAAGGTCGAAATCCCAATATTTTAAGGCTTTCGCCCAAAAAGAAATTAAAATACTTAGAGACACGTAAAAACACAAATGAAATCTTTTTGTATTTACTAATTTACCTGAACAAGAAGGCTCCATTACAATTTTCTCAAGATTTGTCCAGTTAAAGAAAATAAAAAACTTCGAAAAATGAAAAAAGTCATGTATATCACTGTGCACATACAAAAAGAAATAAACTTGCAATTTTCAGAGAATATTACAAGAAAACTGTAAATTTTTTGCCAAATATTTGTTCAGTTAGTGATGTAGAAATTTATCTACTTTTGTTTGATACCAAAAATTTACTTGTACTTTGAATTTTGATTTTTGAATTAATCCCCAAAATCGACACATTTTACCCCAATATGCCATGGTCTGCCACGTAGTTTACTACTTACCTCACAATTAGACGCGTCTACCCACTCTTCATTCTCACATTTGATCTCGCTATCTGTATTACTATCGTGCTCAAATTCTTCGAAAGTTCCATCAAAAGCAGATTTATCGATGAACTTTACATCACGACTTATTATAATGCACTTTTTAGTCTTTGAATACAAATGGTACGCTTTTGATTCGCATGAGCAGCCAACAAATATACATGGCTCAGCGCATGAATCGAATTTTCCTTTTGAAGGATTTTTGTTTAGAACGTATGCTATTGTACCAAATATTTTCATGTACGCCACTGTCGGATTTTTCTTGGTCCATACYCGGTATGGAACTTCACCCGTTGTTCTTGTTACACAACGATTTCGAATATAACACGCCGTATTCACAGCTTCAGCCCAAAATGATGGCGGTGCACCCACATGTTTCATCATGCACCTGGCCATATCAATTAGAGTTCTGTTTTTACGTTCAGCCATATTGTTTTGCTGCCGAGTATACGGTGCCGTAAGTCGACGTTTGATTCCGCACTCTTTTAAAAATGTATTAAATTCATTATTACAATGTTCACGCCCGTTGTCCGATTGCAACGCTTTTATTTTCTTTCCCGTGAATGTCTCAACTTTGGCTTTATATTCCTTAAAAACATCCAGAACGTGTGATTTTTGTTTTATGAAAAATATTTCACACCACCTTCACTTTTCGTCAATAAATGTCACAAAATGTTTCGCACCGCCATGGGACTCACACCACCTCATTGGTCCACACACGTCACTGTGCACAATCTCTAGCAGATCGCCAACTCTGTTTCCATCTGATCTAGGAAAAGTTGCACGCACTTGCTTTCCACTTGCACAAATTTCACAATCGGAGAGTATTTCAGTTTGTTTAAATTTTAAACCATATACCGAACCGTTTGCCATTGATTTCAGATCGCGTTCATTAACGTGTCCCATTCTGTAATGCCACAGATCAATATTGTTTTTATAATTTGCCAAATTTGCGAAATCTTTTGAAGTTCTTAAATAATACAAATTGTCAATTCGTTCGTCTTGTAATACCACTTTATTATCTCTGTTCATAATCACGGCTTCATTCTTTTTGAATGTAACTGCGTAACCCCTGTCAGTAATTTTAGCAACAGACAACAAAATCGTACGCAAATCGGCCACATGTAAAACGTTTTCTAAGTCTAAGTCAATTTGTTTTCCGCGAACGTTTGCTGTGGTGCACACTTTACCAACACCACTTACATATCTTCGTTGAGCAATTACTTGCCAAACTTAATTCGTCATTTCCTAGTTTAACACTTTCAAAAATGTTTTTATTCGCACTCATTAGATGTACAGCCACTGTCCAAAGACCATCTCATATTTCCTATAGGGACGGTAAACGTTTTTCTATTGAACATAAAGCCACTTTTGCCTTTTCGTTTGTTTCTTCACTCACACACGTATTTTGTTCTTGTTGTTTGTCAATACAATTTCTCGCGAAATGTCCCGGTTTACCGCACCGATAGCACTTATTAATTAATTTATTAATTAACATACGATTGRCTTTTGCTTTTTCTTTATGTACAGTACGTTATTGTCTTCCACTTTGTCTTCTTTTGACTTTCGCGACTCGTGTTCTTCGAGAATTTTAACACGAAGAATATCCGGCTTCGATAGTTCATCTCGCGTTTCAACTGCACATCTAAATGCCTCGTATGACGCCGGCAAACTGTACAATAACAAAATTGGCAGTAGCTCGTCGCCTATTTCTTTAAGCTTCGCTACTGCATCGAAGAACCCGTTAAGGTGTTCTTGAACTTTCTCGTCTTCTGACATACGCTACACGTTTAAGTAACGTTGCTTTCCTAGCTGGTCCCTTTGATTGGAATGTCGATTCCAACCTTATCCAAATATCACGTGCACTTCTGCACTCCGAAATCGGCCCTAGCCCTGATGGCGCTATCGGCAATGTAATGTCCGCTGATGCCTTTTGGTCAGCACTTTTCCACTCGTAGAGTTTTGTCTCGTCTGTGGGACACAATTTAGTACCATCAGCGTATTTCCACAAATAATTTTTTATTAAAATTGCCCACATTTGCAGCTTCCAAGAATCGTAATTTTCCGCGTTTAGCGGCTCGATTCTTACTATACCAGCCATTATGCTGAAGTCTCAAATTATTTTTTCATTTAATTAAATTCACTTTTATTCGATATYGTCCAGTCGTTCGCGATCACGTGGGATTCTGGGCCCATAACCTGATGGTCCGAGAAGGTTTAAGGTTAAATAACGACTGAATTTATTCAATATGGATAAATATGTCTTTACAGTTTATAAAGGGATATAACAAAAGGGAATATAGAAAAGGAATACAGAGTTGCTAGAGGTACATAGTTGTAATTCAAAGTACATATTCATATAATACTATTTACTACGAACTATTTCGCCTTCACAACAATTACTTCGTATCAAAGAAATTTGCTGATGATGTTTAAATATATAACTATAAATGCTAGAAATTTCTCTTTAATCAATTATTTATTTCCCTCCCAAAAAAAACTTTAAAAAATCGATTTTTTAAGCCTCTAATGAGGGCCCTTAAGCATCCGCATTTTTTTCCAAAACTCAATAATTAAGACATTTCTTGTTTTATTCTTATGTATTCTCCTACAGAAATAAAGGTAAAGTAATTCGTAACAATAAAATAACTTCATTCGAATATCTTCTTGATTTGTTTCTGACAGCAAAACCGATAAAATTGGTTTCCGTGACACCCAAAACCGATACAAATTCTATTTCGAATATCAAACCAATAATATCCGAATTCATGACACCTACGGCTTTTTTTGATCGGTTTCAATTCTGATTTCGATAACTATCAGATTCCACAACACCCCTGAATATATGCAAAATATAATTTTAACCCCTTCCAAATCGCAAGAGTGCAAAATTTTATGTTACTCACGAATTTTTTCCTTCCTTGCCTATTCTGGTTTATGAAAGTTTCTTAACAGCCACTCGACCAATAAAGTCATAAACTCATAAAACACTCGTGGTCCAATTTCTGTATTGCGTGAGTTCATGTTCGATAATCTTTATTTTGCTTTAATTTTTTCGAAAAATATTTAGCTCATTAAAAAAATTATAAATAATTATAAATTAATATTAAAACAATATGTTATGAATTATTGTTAGTATTAAACCGATCGCTAAGGCGAGCCTGTATAAGATATGTTTATGAAAGAACCCAGTTAATCAAAAATAATAATTTTGTGTAATCTAAATCCGATCGTTTTGATTTTTTCCTGTTTTTCGATTGTAGTTTGTTTTTTCTTTAACTGGGGGCTTATTCTGTAACTCGATTCGAAACAAAWTTTACTCGAATTCGCATTTTTTATATTCCGTAACTCGATTTTCGGATTTTCACGTCAATTTTCGAATAAAATATTCGTTAGCTTTTGAGTTGTGGAAAGCAAAAACGAAAATTGTACATATTTATTCTGGCACAGGGTGGTACAACTTTCGAAAAATTATAAAGTAAATCCGATTTTCGAATAGAATACATTTACGAATCGAGATACAGAATAGGGCCCCTGAAACGTTTTTCTTGTCAATTCGTTAGACCCGAAAGTAGTGTTATTGAATAAGTTCTCGTAACCTATAAATACTTACCATCGCACCCTACTATAGATAATTCAATGCACGATACAAATCCACTCACATTCACCCAGAAGAACAGAAAATTACCCAAATTATCGCTCGCGAAAGACTTTAAGTAAACTCAAAATTAAAACAGAAATTTCTGAATTATACTTGTAAATAAAATAAAAATTAAAGTTTAACGGAAATCAATGCTGCACAAGTTTGTAAAATAAGATTTATTTGAAAGAGTAATTATAAGTTTCTCAAGAGCTTTAGGTTGGAAGTGTGAGTATACAGAAAATACTAATTGTATACTTCTTACAAAAGATTGAATAATATTAGTTAGTTTATTGCTCAAGTTCTATTTGAAAATTTAATATTCACAATTGCAGTTACAGAGCCCATTAAATATTATTGTATATTTCCAAAAAAATCTAACCATATACTACAGTGGGCACTCAGATATAATTCTGCTTTCGTATTAACATTTTTACAGGTAAAAATTCTAACGAACACCGTTCTAGCTCTCGTTTTGAAAAACCATTTGATTACATTGAATACCTACGTAATAAAGAACACAACGAAAATAAAATATATCAATGTCTAGAGAGTTTGAGGGTAGCTCTCACAAGCAATCCTATTTCCTGGATTAAGGAGTTTGGAGAAGATGGCATAAATGAAATAACGTTATTATTGAGACGCTGTTTAAAAGAACGTGGGTTTGACCGAATTGAGTTGGAGTGCATTCGTTGCCTGAAAGCTGTAATGAATAATACATGGGGTTTAAATTTAGTATTAACACCTGAGCTGCACACAGTAGTATTATTATTAGCACAATATTTGAATCCTCGGAAACCACAAGCAATGTGTGAAGCTGTAAAATTACTGGCATCATTTTGTCTTGTCCCTGAACGTAACGGATATGATAAGGTTCTTCGCGCAATAACTACTGCCGCCTCCAACAAATATAAAACAAGTGAACGGTTCAAACCTATAGTTGATGCATTATTTATGGACGGAAAATGTGACCCAAGAAGAGATTTAGCTTGTCACAGTCTTATTTTCATTAATACGTTAACAAACACTCCCAGTGATTTAAACTTTCGTTTACATTTGCGCTGTGAAATAATGCGAATGGCACTTTATGAGAGATTTGATTTGTTTAAGGACATTGTTTCTAAAAGTAATAATGATGCTTTGAAGCAACATTTTAAGATTTTTAATGAAATAAGAGAGGATGATTTCGAAGAATTCACTCAAAGGTTTGAAAATGTTAGTTTTAACATGGACGATATGGCAGACTGTTTTGAAGTACTTAAAAATCTTGTAACAGATACCAGTTCTGAGCCATACTTTTTATCAATACTGCAACATTTACTTTACATAAGGGATGATTTCTATTTTCGACCAGCATATTATCAATTGATTGAAGAATGTATACAACAAATAGTATTACACAAAGGCTATTGCGACCCAAATTTTGACAACCGTACATTTAATATTGATACATCATTAATATTAGATGATATCGTTGAAAAGGTAAAGGCTAAAGAAATAAGGCGTTTCGAGGAATTTGAAAAAAAAATAGAAGAATTGGAAATAGCCAAGCAAGAAGCTGAAGCGAAAGTGGCACATTTAGAAGAACAGATTAAATTAAGAACGACTAAAGAGACACCAAAGTCAGAGTGTCCTGGACTGTTACAGGTAAGTCGCAACGTTTCTTACGTAATCTGGTACTCATTAAAACGTCAACGTAGAAGTCTGTCTATTCTATTAAATTTTTTTATAACTAGAATCTGTTTGCTTGACACTCTTTAATGACTATTGAGTCAATGCATGTCAGATACGAACAAATTTCCTTCCATAACTCGAAGTCGTGTCATTCGAGTTAGTGAAGTTCACCTGTATATATGTCTTATAAATAATTTTACGATTTTGGGAATCCTAAATATAGTAGGTCATGTTATAGTTATCTTATTTAGAATGGCCCCAAAAATCGGATATATACTGTTACCTCGGACAAACTTTACAGTTATTTAATGCTGGTATTGTCAGTAGGGAAATGAATGAAATTTTAGATGACTTTCACTATTTCGAATTGTGAGTAGCGAGCGCATAGAAAATTCGTCGTGAAATAGCGAAAATTAATATTTGGTATTGCCATTTCTGAATTTATGAAAATTCTCTTCGCTCAACTGCCAAAATTGGGCGAAACTTTATTTGATTCGCGAGTGAAATTGAAAATGGAAAAAAACGTTAGTATAATTTTAAAAATTTATTTATCGTATTTAATTTATTAAAAATTTACTTATTTTCAGAATATAAATAACCAGCCAGAAGCTAATTGAGGTGATGGTGAGGTTGATGGAGAAAAAATTTGACCTAGCCAGAGGAATAGCCCCGTTTGGCTCTAAAAAAAATAGGATGTAGTTGTGGCTGAATTAAAAAATATCGGCTCTCTAATACGCAGTGGCAGCGAGTAGAATAAGGAAAGAATAACCAATTTCTATTGAATATATGTCTATATCTGTATTAATTTGTGTATTACTTAGGTTAGTTTGGACTACAAACTAAAATTAAAGGGGGTTTGAAAATTTCCAAAAATCTATTATTTTTGTTTGCTTTATTAAATTTTACAATACCTCTAGAATATAGTCCTAAATTGTAAAGTTGATCGGAGTAATAATTGCAGATACAGTCTTGAGAACTTGTGCACTCAAGGCTAGCTGCGCTAAGTGCCCTGTCATTAAACGCGTTTCTCTCAAAACTGTGTTTTTGAAGTCAGTGGACACGATTTCTAGAAAAGTTATCGACAGATTTAGTTCGTATTGTGTACACATTTTTGAAATAATATTATCTAGTCATTGAACGAAGGATTTTTTCTTGTTTCATTACATCTTATTTTTTGACTAAAAAATGCCGAAAAATGAGATTTTTTGTTCAAAGTCCGAGAAAAGGACAATTTTAATATTTTTTTTTATTTCCTACGTTCAAAAACGAGATTTARATATGTACTACGCTTATTCTGTAGTTTTTTAATTTTATATGAACMAATAATAAGTTATGCTCTCCACGGCTGAGAGACACCCAGGGAAATGCGGTCTCAACGGCGGAATTTTCAACATTTTTGTATCGAAATTTCAAGAGATATTGTTCGAATATATACCTTTGATAAAAACAAATCGTAAAAATACCTTTTTTTGTACCTCTGAAACCCACCTAAATATAAAAAATTCCAGAGAATTGGAAAGTCATTGTAGTGTAGCCACAGGTGAGGGACCTTACACCCAACGCAGCTTAACGCCTTTAGAACAGGCTAAATAGGATAACTATCACATGGCCGTGGACGAGGTGCTCAGCTTACAGCAGGCAGTGCATCAAAAGTGGAACCGCATTTGAAACCACTGCGGCTGCACCAATAAATTTAGCAGCCTAAACAGGCGGGAGAAATTTTAAACGTCTGCTTTATGTCTAGGTCGGCACCTATAAACAGAGAGAGGAGCGCAAATTTAAATTGTAGATATTATAAAATATTAACGCAGTGTGCAATGAAATCTATAGGAATAATAGAAACATTTATGAATTCAAAAAAAAAAAAATTAGCACTGTAGAAGATTAAAGAAGGAAGAAAATATTGAACAAAGGCGACAAAGAATTTCATTAAAATTAAAGGAATAAGAATTAAAAAATCTTAAATAGTCAAAATAAAAAACGTATTTCCAGCAATTCAAAATTAATTATTTTATTGTATGTTACATTAGGGTGGCTCTTATTTTTCAAGTACAATTTTTTTCTTGTGCTACCCCTCAATGTAGTTTCTTTTTATAAAAAAATCAGATGAGCGAAATTTTAAGTTAATCCGATAAGTTTAAAGTGTGCCCCTTCGTCCTCAAAACTACAAAATAAACGAAAATTCAAATAAAAAATCAATTTTGTTTCTTGGTTTCAAAAACTTGTACAGAGTTATCGCCCAAATTAGGTCCGGGGGAAAATTGCTTTGTTTTACTGCAAAAAGAAAGTGAAAAAGATTCGTAAAAGTATGTTCGCATTGCAGCGAAAACACGCTTTCCGTGTTTTCAGCTGAAAACCTAATTGAAAACATGGTTTTCGTCATGTGGTAACTRTTAAATGCATAGCGTATTTTCAGGATGTTTTCACCAAAATGTGAACGAAAACGCAGTTTATTGTGAATTACTAAGGAGTATTGTGAATTGAGTGGATGAAAATAACTATTTACAGTAAATATTGACGGTTATTGTGCGTTTTTTTTTTTTAATTTTGGGTGTGCTTCGTGTATTGTGAATTGAGTGGATGAAAATATCAGTCTCCTATAACATTCGAAGTGAATACATACGGTAGCACAATGTCAACTCCTAGATTACGAGAGAAAATTTATCTTCTTGGGCATTACTCGAATGAAATTGTTGGAAGTAAACTGCCATCGGTGAAACAAGGTTAAACGTTTTCTTTTTCAATTTGCGAGTCAAGTTCCGCGAGTCTCACAAAAGATATATCACCAAGCAAAAAGGAATAGGGGGCGTCGAACAATAATCACTCCTAAGCCTGCTGCTGCCTTGGATAAGTGCCAGATCAGTGACAGGAATGCTGTTCATATTCTGGTAGCTGCCATCGAAGCGCTTGATTATAATGTTTAAAATTTCGCTATCAATAGGTGCTCTATTCACAATTTTCGAGAGAATCTTCGCGAACAAAAAGCTGCTGAAATCAAAAATATTTTCAAGGATAGGAAATTGCACGCTGCTACCTTGCATTGGGATGGTAAACTACTTCCAGCATTAACGAGTAAAGAGAGTGTAGACCGACTTTCTGTAATTCTTTCAAATTGTGGTACTGATCAACTTCTTGGTGTACCTGCATTGCAATCATCATTTGTGGTATCTATCTCCTGAACCCATCGCCTTCGCGTTCTTTGACTCTAATTTGTCTTCTGAATCAAAAAGAAAAATGGTCAGTGCACTATATCGTGAAGCAGATATATGTATCAGAAGAAAATACCAAAAAGATTAATGTGCAAATAAATCAAATCCCAGAAATAATGAACAATGGAATCGAACAATTTGTTTCTAATAAAACAAGGAAATTTTTCACTAGATTCGATTTAAGTGACGAGTTCCTTAACATAGATCCTTCGCAGTGGCACAAAAATGAAGATTTCATTAATGCTCTAAATCTAGTTAAGAAACTGAAAGTTGTAAACGATCCGGTGGAAAGAGGCGTGAAACTAATGGAGGAGTCATCATGACATTTTCTTTTGTAAATTATTAACCTTTCTTTATTTCAAATTTGTATGTTATTATTTTGTAAATATTTACTTACCATTATTTTTTCTAATAAACTGAAATGAATTGAAGAAAAAGTTTTATAGAATTATATGTACAAGCTAAATATAACATGGATAATAATTAATAAATTATAAAAAATAATTAATTATTTAATATTTATTACTTAATAATCTTTATGAATACAAATTATATATGATTTAATATCATTTAAGAATTCTTGCTAGTTACTTACTCAATAAACATTTTTTGGAACAAAAAACAAATAATTTGATTTTCATGTGATTTTCGGTTCACTTTGGATTTTTAAGGGCCTAGGGGCACACCTTACCCTTATCCGATTCCCACCAAATTCCATAGAGCTCTTTTTTTTCATAGAATGGAACCAAACTGAAGGGTAGCCCACGAAAAATTATTAAAAATTTTAAAAAGTGCTATATAAGAGCCACCCTAATGTTACATATATGTACATATATTTTAGCAATACCACTACACTATGACAGTGCGTTCGCAATTTGTCTTCGGTGACGATCTGCTGCTGTTCCACTGAAGGTTCCTTCAACTGGTTCCAGTGATACCACTATATCAACAAAAGTTTCTTGTTCAGGATCACTTACATTATAATTTTTACAAATATTGTGTAAAGCACAACATACATACATTAATAATCACAGTTGCTTTACTAGGAGGATATCGTAGTTTAGATTCATCTAGTATACAGAATCCAACATTTGAAGGATGATTATTTGACCAATAATCGCATTTTAACCATTAACCACACCTCGTATTCACCTGATATGGCACCGTGCGACTTCTTCCTTTTCAGAAAAATGCATTTGCCCCCATGAAAGGAAAGCGTTATGCAGCCCTAGAGGCCATTCAAAAGGCTTGCACCGGCAGCTAAACACTCGTTCGACATACTTTTGGACTATGTAAAAAGATGTATTGAAGCAGAAGGAGACTATTCTGAATGAAATAAATTAATTGTGGCGAAAAAATATTTGTTCTGCTTACTTCGGAACGCACCTTGTACTTTTTTATACACTCGCAACACTTTGCTATAAATATAATAGCTTTGTTCACCTTAAGTGTAACATATAAAACTAATCGATATACAAATACGGTTATGTACATATAGATAATCGAAATAACGAGTCGAGTTAAATTAAGGGTAACTGACGTCCAAAAACAGTCTAAATCGAATTTCAATGGATTTTTTCCGCAATTATCGGTCAATCTGTGAAATGATTTTCTAGAAATATGTCTTTATATAAGAAATGGATATCATCGGTTCATTGCTACTCCTAACCACTATATACCTAATATAACGATTTTCGAACTTCCAGATTCCAGAAGACCTTACGCTATATTCCGGTCAATATGTCAGATATCTTGCAGAAATTAAGAAAGTTTATTTCTTTTTGTTTGCTTGCGCCTAAAATAGATACCATCAGGCTAATAATAACCTTGCACCCTATACCTGATATACAGTTTCAAAACTCCGGCAGAATTTTGAACGTATCTGTACATCAGTCAATAGTCAGATGAAATTATACGTGGACGTACCTGTATATATAATCAGGGGCGTTGGTCCTGCCCACCAATTAAGAAAAAAAGTGCTTAAGTCATTTAAACAATGAGAAACGAAATTTAACACCCAAAAGCGTCTTTATTCATTCAATAAATTTTATCTCTTTAATTCGGAACTCATTAAAAACTTTAATTATTCATTTGCAAGTTTTGTCACATTAGCAAACAGCTGATYCGAATATTGGTTTTGCATGTATTCGAAAAGACAAAAATCCGATAAAATTCTGTGACACCATTGAAAATCAGAATTGGTTTGCAATTCTGACAGCTAAGCAATTCTGTCTTGGATTCCCCAACACCCCTGAATATTACATATGCTACAGGTCAATGAAGAAAATGTGTCTGTGATATTTTAATGAAATTAACTAAATTTTTTAAAACTGTGTTATTGCCAATGTTTTGACATATAACTCTTATTCCTAACAATGGGTATTTTCGACTACCCCTTTTCGTATTTTGTCAATAGATGTCGTTGCAGTTCACATTGTGTCATACCATACAGTTTTGGAAAGAAAAGAAATTAAATTCGGGGAAGTTGAGCTGTTCAAAAATGAGTGAAAGTAAAGAAGAAATGYCATTATAGCTTCGGTTCTATTGATCTGAAAAGAAAGGAAGGAAAAAAAACTCTAGATCAACATAAAAATTTTGTTCCGTAAAATAAGACGCTTGAAAAAAATTAATTTTTTGTTGAAATTTTCGACTGTTTTTGCTTCGAAAATTGCGTGGTGCGGATTATATGCTTTGTATTTTGCGCTGTGATACATCTATGTTTCGGGCATGTTAGTGTTTGGAATTGCAACATGATGTCCTTTATATTCGATAAGCATTTAATTAAATCCATTTATCAATTTAATTACATTACAACCCTAAGCATGATATTTTGAGTAGTGTATCTAGGATCCAGTATTTTTATCTTTGTTTCGTCAGAAAACAGCACCTTTAGCATTCACCTTTTCTTAAGTGGCCGAATTTTAAGGCGAACACCAAACGATTGTCTCTATTGCGTTTAGAGATCAGAGGCTTCTTCCAGGAAAACCTTTCAAACTTTCGTGTTTCTCGAAGTCACCTTTTAATAGTATCTTGGGCTAGCGAGTTCTAATTTCTTCCAATCTAATTTGTAAAATGTCGTGCAAACGGGTGTTATAATAATTGGTTGCATTAAATACTAGACCTTTTGAAATATTGAGCAATTTACTATTTCACCGTATGACTTCGAATACTGTCGTAACTGAATGATAACGGCATTAGTATCATCAGTACAATATTTCCTTTTTACCTAAAATATTGTTTGAACAAAATGATAAAATTTAGTTACTTTCAATCAAAATCTTACAAAAAATATTATAATTTWCATAAGAAGTGATATACCTGTGTTGTAAATTTAATCACATTTTCAATTTTTTTTTCATTAATTTCAAGCAAAAAAATCATTATTTGTGATTTACTTGAAGGTATGAAAGTTTGTGCCAACTTCATTAATACAAATCTCACGGATCAAATGTATGTTACGGTAAGTGGAAAGGGGGCAATTCCGCTCCTCCGAAAAGTACAAAAAAATGAATATCAAACGAATTTATTATTGAGCTAGGGCCATCCAATTTCTCCCACAGGGTATACATACATATATGTATATTGTCATGAATAGAGATGGATGGATGGATTACATTTCGATGATTTCACTAAATCGTTGTGCCAAGCACTTGTATTTGTGACAAGATAGATTCCTCGAAATAACAGGAGCTAGGGCCATCCAATTTCTCCCACAGGGTATACATACATATATGTATATTGTCATGAATAGAGATGGATGGATGGATTACATTTCGATGATTTCACTAAATCGTTGTGCCAAGCACTTGTATTTGTGACAAGATAGATTCCTCGAAATAACAGGAGCTAGGGCCATCCAATTTCTCCCACAGGGTATACATACATATATGTATATTGTCATGAATAGAGATGGATGGATGGATTACATTTCGATGATTTCACTAAATCGTTGTGCCAAGCACTTGTATTTGTGACAAGATAGACTCCTCGAAATATTTTCAACGATTTTTTAGCCTGGATTAGTGGAAAAACAACCTTTTTTTTAGTAAAAATCTCCAGACAACCATGTCTAAATAATCTTTATTTCCCATTTATGTAATATGGGATTTTTTTTTTTAGCTTAAAGCAAGTACCATAAACCTATAACTTTGAAAAAATTATATTTTCGCTCCACGAAAGAGGTCTTAAGGGGAGAACCCTGTCTCTTATACACATCTAGATGTGTATAAGAGACACAATTCCATGCGACGCACATAGGAGCATTTGGCCGCAAAAACCAGACAAAATTATTTAAAGTGATTGTATAAATGAGAATAAATGAAAATGTATGATTGAATATAATAATGCAATATATTAAAATTAACAAGAAATTTTTGTTCTGTTTGCTCGAAAGTAAAGGTTTTTTTTGTTTTTTGTTTTTTGCTCAAAAACATTGATTATGTTTTATTTCAAAATTAATATTATGCCATTTTTAAATAGAAGTTATAATGGTTACGGTCTCTAGTTCTACACCCTTACTGAAATTCTACCGTTCAAAATAATAAATAATAATATTTCATCATAAACGCACAAGGTTTTTGTGGATATATTTATTCTGCTCTTTGTAAAATAGATAGAGTAATTTCTTCCAGCTTTTATTTGTAGTTCTAATTGACGTTAGCTTAAATTTATACATTTATTAATAAATTTGCTTATATAATTATATCGGTGTCTGTTATTATTATTTTTCTTTGTACACAGTTAAAAACTACACAAGCAGATTGTAATATATCGAGAACTTCCACAATGATACCAACACAAACGCCTCCACCACCACCACCACCTCCTCCACCATCGTTCATAAAAGGTACACCACCTCCACCAATGCCGAATTGCCCGGCTCCACCACCTCCTACAAATTTTGGACCTCCACCTCCACCTCCACCACCATCTAATTTCGGATTAATATCTGTGCCTGGAGCTAAACAGGGCCAACAATTCTCTTTTCTGGTTAATGAACTTCCAAATGGATTGAAACCGAAGAAGAAATGGGAAGTAGGAAATCCAATGAAACGCATAAATTGGAAAGTTGTATCACCTCAAATAATGTCGGATAAATCTTTTTGGCTTAGTTGCGAAGAAGATCGTTTAGCATCGAAGGAATTTCTTTCTGAACTCTCTGAGAGATTTTCATCAAAGCCAGTAAAGAAGTATCAAAATGATGCGGTTGATAAAGCAAACACCCTAGTAAAGAAGAATATAAGCTTACGGGTACTTGATTCTAAATCAGCCCAAAATTTAGCCATATTGCTTGGGGGGCCATTAAAACACTTATCAAACGAGCAAATTAAAATTTGTCTTTTGCGCTGTGATACCGATATATTATCTTCAAACATATTACAGAATTTAATTCAGTATTTGCCATCACCAGATCAATTAAAACAACTTCAAGATATAAAAGCAAAAGCAGAACCGCTGTCCCCAGTAGAACAGTTTGCTGCCACTATTAGCGAAATAAAAAGACTACAGCCGCGGCTTCACCACCTTAATTTTAAATTAACCTACTCCGATGTCATTCAAGATATTAAGCCTGATATTGTAGCTGGAACAGCAGCTTGTGAAGAAGTTCGTAACAGTAAAAAATTTGCAAAAGTTTTAGAACTAATTTTGTTAATGGGAAACTATTTGAACTCAGGATCAAAAAGCGAAGCAGCCTATGGATTTGACATGTCATATCTTGCAAAACTTTGTAATACTAAAGATATTGATAACCGACATACTCTATTGCATTATTTAGTAAAAGTAATAGAAAATGAGTTTACCGATATACTTGATTTTTATAACGATTTACCACATATTGATAAAGCTTCTCGAGTAAATTTAGACTCGATTCAGAGAGCTATGCGTCAAATGATTTCGTCTCTAAAGTCGCTGGAGACAGATTTAAAAAATAATAAAGTACCTCAATGCGATGATGATAAGTTTAATGACATAATGGGTGAATTCTCATACGACTGCCGTCAACATGTTGATGTACTAGGTAAGTGATTAGACAGGTCGCTATATTCAAATATATAGTTTTAATAATATATAATATATAATTCTTACCATCTGATCAAATTTCAAACTATATTTTTACGTATTCTAATACAAATTTTTATTAAAAATCTTCATTGCCTTCAGACAATTTTTTTTTTCGAATTCTTGTTTGCGAATCTTTTTATTTATTGTTATGAACAGAGATGGATGGATTACATTTCGATGATTTCACTAAATCGTTGTGCCAAGCACTTGTATTTGTGACAAGATAGA